AAATGACCTCCTGATGCTTCACCCCCCCCTTCAGTCATGGGGCTTGAACTCAGGGTCTGGGTGCTATGTCTGAGCTCTTTCACCCAAGACTAGCTCCCCTACCACTTAGAGCCACAGCTCTACTTCTTGTCTTCTGGTGGTTAATTGAATATAAGAGTCTCTCACACTTTCCTGCCTGGGCTGGCTTTGAACCATGATCCTCAGATCTCCACCTCCTGAGTAGCTAGAATTATAGACATAAGCGACCAGTGCCTGACTTCCTTGTTTTGAGACAATCTTGCTATATAGCACAGGCTAGCCTGAAGCCTCCTGATCCTTACACTTCGGTGTACTGGGAAAGATGTTGCTTTTTTCTGCTCTCATCACTCTGGCTTTACTGCCATTCAAAGGCCACAAGCCGGATGAGTGCACATATATTGAAGTGACATGTGATAATCTTTCACTGAGCTGTGGGCTAATGTGGCTGCCCAGGTGGATTGCATGGACTCGGAGTCAAGGTATTGCAGTTTCATCCAGCTCTGCCCTCCTTGTACTAATCAACATGCTTATGGCAAGTTACCAAGCCTTTCTGGACCTCAGTGTCGCAAGCTAGACAAAGGAGGTAGCTGGGGGCTGTCATCTCCTGGGGTGGCTAGAGCAAAGTAAGAGGATATTCAGGTCAGAATTCGGTGGCTCAGCCTTCCAGGCTGGGCTTCACACGGGGTCTGGGGCCTGGCAGATAGGAGCACATCCCCCAAGCCATGACTGCTTTGTTTCCTGAAAGGCAGGAGCTGTGGTGTAGGCTTGGGTACTACAGAACCTATAGGATAGAAAGCAGAGGAAAAGGATCTTGGGGTCCAGCGAGAAGGCTGGAAACAATCTGAGCTGGAGATGAGAAAAAGATCCACCCCCACCCCAAGCAGGGAACTCTGTGCTGAGAACTTGCTATTTAAAGGGCCTCTGGGGAGGTCTGGCCAGAAAGGAGCCATCTGAACAAGGGATTAAAATTAGCCTGGGTGAGATGTGGGGGCTGTGGGCCGGGCTGAGGCAGAGGTTTTTGAGTTGCTGCTCTGGCTCTGGGTCCTTGACCCAAACCATCCTAAAAGGAGGGACTAGAAAGACTGCTGAGTGGGGTCCAAGCCAGCTGGCAGCTTGTGCTCACTCTCATGGCATCTGCAGGGGTAGACCCGAACTACCTGAGAGTGGGCACTCAGGCCCTGTTATCCTTTCCTGGCAGATCTCATCTCTGCCAGACTAGATATGTATAGTAGGGATCCTACTGCCTTTAAAGAGCAAAGTGTAGGGGCTGGGAAGGTGGCTCAGTGGTAGAGCGCTTGCTTTGCATGCCTGAGGCCCTGGGTTCGATTCCTCAGCACCACATAAGCAAAAAGAAAAAAGCCGGAAGTGGCTCAAGTGGTAAAGTGCTAGCCTTGAGCTGAAGAGCTGAGGGACAGCGCCCAGGCCCAGAGTTCAGGACCCACGACCGGACCCCCCCCCAAAAAAAAAAAACAAGGTGTAGCAAGACACTGGTGGTTCATTCCTATAATCCTAGCAGCCCAGGAGATCTGAGGATCTTGGTTCAAAGCCAGCCCCGGCTGGAAAGTCCAGGAAACTCTTTTATCTCCAATTAACTACCAGAAAACCAGAAGTGGCACTGTAGCTCAAGTGGTAGAGTGTAGCCTTGAGCTGAAGAGCCCAGGGACAGCAACTAGGCCCAGAGTTCAAGCCCCATGACCAACCAAAAAAAAAAAAAGGCTGGAAGTAGAGCTGTGGCTCAAGTGGTAGTACACTAGCCTAAGAGCAAAATTAGCTCAGGGATAGTGCCCAGGCACTGAGTTCAAGCCCCCACCAGCACAAAATGTGTATGGATTGGGTGTGGTGGTAACTGCTTTTAATCTCAGTTATTTGGGAGGCAGAGATTAGAAGACAATCTAAGATAAATCCAGGCAAAAATGTTACTAAGACTCAAACAGTCTGGAGGATCTGGGTGCCTGTGGTTCACAGCCAGCCCAAGCAGGAAAGTCCGTGAAACTTTTTTTGGGTCAGCTGTGGGCCTGAACTCTTGGGTGCTGTCCCTCAGCTTTTCAGCTCAAGGTGAGTGCTCTACCACTTAAGCCACAGTGCCTCTTCTCGCTTTTTCTGTTTATGTGGTGCTGAGGAATCGAACCCAGGGCCTCATGCATGCAAAGCAAGCACTCTACCACTGGGCCACCTCTCCAGTTAACCACCAGAAAACCAGAAGTGGCATTGTGGCTTAAGTGATAGAGTGCTTATCTTGAGCTGAAGAACTCAGGGACAGTGCCCAGGCCCAGAATTCAAGGCCCACAAATGGGGGGAAACAATCTAGAGGCCAGGAACTTTGGTTCACACCTGCAATCCTAGCTACTTTGGAGACTGAGATCTGAGGATTGAAATCAGCCTACGCGTACAGACCCAAGAGACTGTTACCTCCAGGTTATGAGCAAGCACCTGCTGTCATGTGTGGCTTCATAGTAGGGTGGGGCATGTACACTTCTCCATAAACCAGCACTGGGGACCTTCAAAATAGTCATTGCTGTTCATTCAGATCTTTCATTATTTAGGAAGCCACAGTTTCAAGATGTGTTTTTAATGGCTCTAAACTGGAAAACCTCCATCCCATCACAGCTATCCGATAGTCTGGGTGAGCTTAGTATCTGTTGCAATGACTTTACATAGTAGCATTAGCTGGGTATGGTGATTTATGCCTATAATTCCAGTACTGGAGAGGCTGGAGGAGTCTGAGAGTTTGAGGTCAGCCTGAGCTATACATAGTCAGACCCTATCTTAAGAAACAAAGATAAGCTGGGTGCCAAGATTTTATGCCTGTAATTCTAACTACTAGACTGAGATCTGAAGATCATGGTTTGAAGCCAGCCTAGGCAGAAAAGTCTGTGAGATTCCTTTTTTTTTTTTTTTTTTTGGTCCGGTTGTGTGGCCTGAACTCTGGGCCTGGGCACTGTCCCTCAGCTCTTCAGCTCAAGGCTAGCGCTCTACCACTTGAGCCATAGTGCCACTTCCGGCTTTTTTCTTTTTGTTTATGTGGTGCTGAGGAATTGAATCCAGGGCTTCAGGCATGCAAGGCAAGTGCTCTACCACTGAGCCACCTTCCCAGCCCCAAGTCGGTGAGATTCTTATCTCCAATAAACCACTCAAAAAACCCAGAGGTGGAACTCAAGTGATAGAATGCTTGCCTTGAGCAAAAGAAGCTCAGAGAGCCTGCCGAGGCTCATACCTATAATCCTAGGTACTCGGGAGGCTGAGTTGTAAGTATCAAGGTTCGAAGCAGCCCAAGCAGGAAAGCCGTTGAGACTCTTATCTCCAATAAACCAATAGAAAACCTGCAGTGGTACTATGGCTCAAGAGGTAAATAGCTCTCTTTGAGCTGAAGAGAGCCGGGACAACGCCCAAGCCCAGAGTTCAAGACCCATGACTGACCAAAAAAAAAAGAAAAAGAGAGAGGCTCAGAGATAACACCCAGGTCTAGAGTTCAAGCCCCATGACTAGCCAGAAAGAAAACACACACATGCACGCACGCACGCACACACGCGCGGTCTAGAGTTCAAGCCCCATGACTAGCCAGAAAGAAAACACACACATGCACGCACGCACGCACACACGCGCGGTCTAGAGTTCAAGCCCCATGACTAGCCAGAAAGAAAACACACACATGCACGCACGCACGCACACACGCGCGGTCTAGAGTTCAAGCCCCATGACTAGCCAGAAAGAAAACACACACATGCACGCACGCACGCACACACGCGCGGTCTAGAGTTCAAGCCCCATGACTAGCCAGAAAGAAAACACACACATGCACGCACGCACGCACACACGCGCGGTCTAGAGTTCAAGCCCCATGACTAGCCAGAAAGAAAACACACACATGCACGCACGCACGCACACACGCGCGGTCTAGAGTTCAAGCCCCATGACTAGCCAGAAAAAAAACACACACACACCATAAGAAATAAAATTGTTATCCAGGCGCTGGTGGCTCACGCCTGTAATCCTAGCTACTCAGGAGGCTGAGATCTGAGAATCACGGTTCAAAGCCAGCCCGGGCAGGAAAGTCCTAAGACTCTTATCTCCAATAAACCACTCAGAAAACTGGAAGTGGCGCTGTGGCTCAAGTGGTAGAGTGCTAGCCTTGAGCTGAAGAGCTGAGGGACAGTGCTCAGGCCCAGAGTTCAAGCCCCACAACTGACCAAAAAAAAATCGTAAAATTCATTTTATTATACCAGAATATATTAATTATGAAAAAAGAAAAAGAAACAGTAGTAGCACCTGGAGGTCTGGAAGCAGGACTTACCTCAGGACCTCAAGTTGCTCATGTGGTCAGGTTTGGATGGAGTCCCAGGATGCACAGCTGGTGTTTAGACTTGGCTTCACCACCAACTTTTGACCGTAATGTTTAGCATTGCCGGCTTCACCTGTTTGATGAAAAAGATACAAGAAAGGCAGGTGCGCTTAACCATCAGGGCCTTTCTGCTGCCATTGGTCTGCTTAAGGACATTAAGTTGCAGCTGCTTGCTGAGTGACACCTCCAGGATGGCTTAGAAAAGAAAGGTAAGCTGGACACCAGTAGCTCACACCTCTAATCCTAGCTCCTCACAAGGCTGAGATCTGAGGACTGAGATTCAGAACCATCCCAGGCAAGAAAGTCTATAAAGCTTTTATCTCCATGTAGCTACCAAACAGCTGGAAGCGGAGCTGTAACTCAAGTGGTATATTGTCAACCTTGAGCGGAGAAGCTAAAATCCAGGTCCTGAGTTCAAGCCCTAGTATCAACACCCCTCCCCCCCCCCAAAAAAAAGGGAAGGTACACAGAAGGAGCTTTGACAAATCTTTGACACTGTGAATGTTATTTTGCTTCAATGTCTGGAGGAGGCAGTACTGAATTTCTCCTGAAGTTCTAGGACTAGTTCCCAGACTAGAGGAAGAGCACCATCCCTGTCCTTCCTGTGTAGCCTGGCCCTGACCACTGTGGTCTCTGTCCCCAGGTCCGGACACTGTTCGTCAGTGGCCTCCCCGTGGACATTAAGCCCAGAGAACTTTATCTACTTTTCCGGCCATTCAAGGTGAGTCAGATCAGGGAGAAGCATAAGGAATGAATCTCTGGTTGGTGCTGGGCTGCAGAAAGATGTGGGAAAGTGTCAAAATGTCACTCACCTTGCTCTGTCTGGTTCTGTTAAATTCACTTGTCCTATGCCACTTGCTTAGCCCTCTCAGGCCTCTGAGTCTTCAACTATACAGTTGAACTCTGAGCCTTACTCTTGCTAGACAGGTACTCTACCACTTGAGCTGTATCTATCTGTAGCCCCTTGATTTTTTTTTTTTTTGGCCGGTCCTAGGGCTTGAACTCAGGGCCTAGGGCACTGTCCTTGAGTTTCTCTGTGCTCAAGACAAGTGCTCTACCACTTGAGCCACAGCACTACTTCCAGGCTTTTCTGTTTATGTGGTACTGAGGAATAGAACCCAGGGCTTCATGCATGCTAGGCAATCACTCAACCGCTAACTTACATACCCAGCCCCAAGCCCTTTGATCTTAACAGACTTTGCAGTATGAGGAATCTTGGCAATTCAGTGTAGTCTTTTCCAGTTAGAGATGAGAAAAGTGAAAAGGTAAGGCCCATGCTCTTACTACATGTCAGTGAAAAAACACGAGTGCCCGACATCATGCTACTCCATGTGCCAGACCACGTGATTCTGAACACAGGCACTGGGATCTCCTTTGTTGGGGGAGAAGGGGAAAAGGATTCAGAGGAACTCTGGGAAGAGCTGAGGCTGGTGGGGATAAAGCTGGTTTAGCACAATCAAAGCCTCTGACCTTCTTCCCCCCGTGACGGCCCCCTCTCTCCGCAGGGTTACGAAGGGTCTCTGATCAAGCTCACCTCCAGACAGGTAATTTCTCTTCTAGGTTTTCTTGCTCTCAGCACAGGCTGGTTGCTGGGTGTGGGACTGAGGCCTGTTGCCTTTCCCTAAGGTTGAGGTACCTGTTGTCCCATTCTATCTTAGGCTGAAGTCAGGGTGGCCTCCAGGTCCCTCCTCCTCTTCCTCACTATCCAGTCAGGCAAGGGCAACTCCTGAGCCACTGTCACTGAGGATTCAGGGAAGCTGCCTGCCCCTTCTCCACTCCACCCCCAGCTTGAGAACAGAAGAGATGGCACCTGAGCTCTGACCCCTGGTGCATAAGGCCCGGGTTCAGAGGCTTCCGCTGCCTTGTGGGGTCTGGGCTGATGAACTTGGTACACAGCACCGTCCACATACATTTAAAAAGAATTCTACTGGAGCTGGGCGCTGGTGGCTCACGCCTGTCATCCTAGCTACTCAGGAGACTGAGATCTGATGATCATGGTTCAAAGCCAGCCCAGCCCAGGCAGGAAAGTCCATGAGACTTTTTTTTTTTTTTGTCGGTTTTGGGGCTTGAGCTTGAACTCTGGGCCTGGGCGCTGTCCCTAAGCTCTTCAGCTCAAGGCTAGCACTCTACCACTTGATCTACAGCGCCACTTCTGGTTTTCTGGTGGTTTATTGGAGATGGGAGTCTCAGTCTTTCCTTCCAGGGCTGGCTTTGAACTGAGATCCTCAGATATCAGCCTCCTGAGTAGCAAGAATGACAGGTGTGAGCCACCAGCGCCTGGCCCCTTGAGACTCTTATCTCCAACAACCACTAAAAAACCAGAAGTAGCTCTGTGGCTCAAGCAGTAGAGCTTTCTCCTTGAGCTGAAGAGTGCAGGGACAGCGCCCAGGCCTTGAGTTCAAGCTCCACAGCCGACAAAGAAAAAAGGAAAAAATTCCACTGGAATTGTGATGTGCAATGCAGTGGGAGGGGGGAACGGTCTGTTCCCACCGTGTAGTCCTGAGACTGGGGAGGGAGGAGGAAGGCTGGACCTCAAGTGTGGTTTTTGCCACTCCAGTTGCACCTTAGGAGGGCAGAGACAAGATGTTTACTCTTCTCCATTATCTTCTCATCAGGACAAAGACTTTTAGTTAGAAGATAGTTTTTTGTTGGTTTGTGGTCCTAGAGATTAAGCCCAAGAGTTTATACATGCTAGGCAAGTGCTACCTCACTGAACTGGCTACCCTATGGTCCCTCCATGCCTCTCTTCTTTGGCTGTTTTTTTTTTTTTTTGATTGGTCATTGAACTCAGGGCCTGGGTACTGTTCTGAGCTTCTTCTGCTCAAGGCTAGTGCTGCACCACTTGAGGGACAGCTCCATTTCCAGACTTCTCTTTGTAGTTTATTGGAGATGAGAGTCTCATGGATTTTTCCCGCATAGGCTGGCTTCAAATTGTGATCCTCAGATAGCTCAGCCCCCTAAGTAGCTAAGATTACAGGTGTGAGCCACTGGCATCCAGCTCTGGAGATTTTTCACTCAAATGTAGTACTCTGCCACTTTGACCCACAGCTCCACATAGGTTTTCTAGTGGTTAATTGGAGATGAGTCTCACCCACTTCCCTGCTAGGACTGACTTTAAACTGGGGAGCTACCTGAACAGGTAGGATTATGAGCTTGAGCCACCAGCACCCAGCTTCTTTGGCTTTTTGATTAATTGGAGATAAGAGTCTCAGAACTGGGCTGGGAAGGTGGCTCAAGTGGTAGAGCTCTAGCCTTAAGCTAAAGAGCTGAGGGACAATGCCCGGGCCCAGAGTTCAGGCCAGTCTCAGAACTGGGTTCTGGTGGTTCATGCCTATAATCTTAGCTATTCAAGAGGCTGAGATATGAGGCCTTTGGTTCCAAGTCAGTCCTGACAGAGAAGTCCCTGAGACTCTTATCTCAAAGAAACTACTCAGAAAAAAAAAAAAAAAGACTGAAGTGACCGAGACTCAAGTGGTAGAATGATAACCTTGAGAGAAAAAGTGCCTTAGGCCCTGAGTTCAAGCCCCAGCATAATAAGTCTCAAAGATTTTTGCCCAGGCTGGCTTCAAACCTCAATCCTCAGATCGCACTTTTTTGCTTGCTTGTTTTGTGTTGGAGGTGGGATGGAATGTTAAGAGAAATGCAAGAAAGATGTTCTTTCTTTTTCCTCTTAGCCTGTTGGTTTTGTGATCTTTGACAGCCGGGCAGGAGCCGAAGCAGCTAAGAATGCACTGAATGTAAGTAGACAGAGGACAGACATTGCTTTGACTATCCCTGTCCTATCTTCCACAATTCTTCCCCTTTGCATACGCAAGGAAAGGGTCTGCCCATGGACTTATTCCCCTAACCATGCCACAGCAGAGCCCTTGGTTGCACAGCTTGTGATAAATGCGGTTACAAGCTCCCAGCATTCCTGCTGCCTGGCACTTCTGTGCACAAGTCTTTTGAGTGAGCTTTTATCTGGACTCCGCCTCTGTGGCAGCTGACAGCGTGGGTCCTACAAAGTGTGTCTCTCTCCAACTTGGTAGGGTATTCGATTTGATCCTGAGAACTCACAGACCCTGAGGCTAGAGTTTGCCAAAGCCAACACCAAGATGGCCAAGAGCAAGCTAATGGCAACACCAAATCCTGCCAACGTTCACCCCGCCCTCGGAGCACATTTCATCGCCCGGGACCCCTGTGAGTGCCACTCCGAGCTGCCTTCGTTCTGTTCCTTTGGTTGGCCCACGCTGGCAGGGCCTGCTGGTGTTGCATGTAGAGGTGTTCAGATGGTTGTTGAGGGCATCAGTCTCGTCTCGGTCCCCTTTTCAGGTGGGATGGAATGCTGGGAGTGTCCTGGGGAGGGGAGGAGGTTCTTGGATCATAGTCAGCTGTCTCAGCCTTCCTGGCCTCCTCCTTCCTTATTCATCCCTTATCTGAACCTCAAAGGGACTGGGCTTCTGAACTGTCAGAGTCGCCCAACTTTTCTTGAAGTGTTCTCTGATTTCCCATGCTTGAGATGGGCTGAGGTCTGTGTCAGAGCTTCTAGAACAGATCGGGCATTCACCGTATGCTGCCCTAGCTTCCTTCCTGAGTCTTGGGGTCCTCAGAGAGGCTGTGGGGCTTATGGCTCAGCTAGCATACCCAGTCCCCTTCTCCGTTGGAAGGGGGTGGCGGGAAGGGAGAGCAGTGTTTGACAGTGGAGGCCGTTGTCTCCTGTTATAGATGACCTGATGGGGGCTGCTTTGATCCCTGCATCCTCAGAGGCCTGGGCTCCTTACCCTCTGTACACCACAGAGCTGACCCCGGCCATCTCCCATTCAGCATTCACCTACCCTGCTGCCACTGCTGCTCTCCATGCTCAGGTAAGCCGCTTTGGGTTTAGGAGTGGGAGGGCTTGAAACTGCCAGGCTTTGTACACCTACAGGGATGTGGGTGGGCCACTTGTGTCGGCAGGGCTGCAACAGAACTCAGAGAGCCACAGGTTCCTGCTATTAGGGTTTAGGGTACGGTGGGGAGAATGTGAGCAGTGCGTTCACATGGAAGAAGCACAGGAGAAGGCTGTGGGTGCTCAGGCCTGGCTATGCCTGGCCTCCTTGGATACCATAGTCCAGGGCTACCCTGTGCTCTGCTCTACCTGTGGCTACCGGATTCAGTTTGAATCTTATCTTGAGCCTGACCAACTGCCTCTGTCTCTTCCTGTTTTTATGAACTTCCTCAGCCTCTACCTCCCTCCCACTCCCCACAAACCCCCACCCCCGCGGCCCCAACTCAGGGCCTACACACTGTCCCTGAGCTCTTTTTGCACAAGGCTAGTGCTATACCACTTGAGCCACAGCTCTGCTTCCAGTTTTCTGGTGGTTAATTGGAGATGAGTCTCATGGACTTCCCTGAGAGGGCTGGCTTTGAACCAAGATCCTCAGACCTTAGCCTCCTGAGTAGCTAGGGTTACAGGCATGAGTCACCAGCACCCAGCTTCTTCAAGGTTTTTTATCTTTATTTTTTTTTCCAATCCTGGTACTTGAACTCAGGGCCTGGGCACTGTCCCTGGGCTTCTTTTGCTCAAGGCTAGAACTCTACCACTTGAGCCACAATGCCATTTCTAGCTTTTTCTGTTTATATGGTATTAAGGAATTGGACCCCGGGCATGCAAGCGCTCTACCACTAAACCACATTCCCCAGCCCTTCCTCAAGGTTTTAAAGGTCTCTGTGCCTTGAATGTTACTCATCTGGAAATGAGAAGAATATTTCATGCTTCAGGGTGGTTGTGAGTTTGATATGAGGCCAGAGCTACGTCTGGATGTCTGGGCATCTCAGTGTTTGCTCTGGTTTCCATGAAGCCTGGACACTGTCTGCTGTCACAGTGCAGGACGGAGGAGCAGGTGCTTCAGGGGATGTTGGGCGCCGTGGGCTGCACCAGGAGGCGTGGCCATGTAGGCTCTACTCTGTCTGACTTGGTTATTGTAGGCCCTGAAGTATGGCACAGCAGGAGGACTCATCTCTTTGTATGTTTGCAGGGTGGGGGGAGGGTGGACAATTCTTCACAGTGGCTACAACAGGACATTACCAGGAATGTGTACAGGATGGTCCTAGGTAGCCTTAGGAGGGAGGCTGAGGGGTATCTCGAACCCACCCCAGCCTCGAGTCAGGGAAGTGATTCTAAGACAGTATATGGCTACCTGGCCTGGGCAGTAGGAAGGAAAGGAGGGAGAGAGTTCCCAGAAAGTGGAAGCTGTAGCTGGGGGTGGAGGGGAGGTCCTAGGGAGCGCTGAATGCCTACCCATTTTCAGGCCCACTGAGGGGGCTCAGTGATGTCAAGGTTTGCCCAGATTCAAGGTAGGAAGTTCTGTTTCAGAGGTCACTACCTGAGAAGACTGCTATCCTACAGAGAATTCTCCCTATGGCACCTTTTGAATATGCTGAGCAGAATTGTGGTAAACTTGGTGCTGTCCCCAGCTGAGCCTGACAAACAGCTGGAACAGTCATATGAAGGTAGGAAGCTGGAGGAGCAGAAACCAGATTTTGATACAAGAGCAAAGCCAGGGGAGCCTCTGTGTTTGTCCTGACCAGGTCTGTGGGGCTGCTTTTTTTGTTGGTGGTAGTAGTTGTGGGGCTTGAACTCTGGGCCTGGGAATCCGGGGCTGGGTGCTATCTTGAACTCTTCAGCACAAGGTGAGCGCTCTACCACTTGAGCCACAGCACCACTTCCAGGTTTTCTGGTGGTTAAATTGGAGATAAGAGTCTTAAGGACGGGCTGGGAAGGTGGCTCAGTTGTAGAGCGCTTGCCTTGCATGCCTGAGGCCCTGGGTTTGATTCCTCAGCACCACATAAGCAAAAAGAAAAAAGCTGGAAGTGGGGCTGTGGAAAAGCCTTAGGGGCTTTCTTGCCCCGGGCTGGCTTTGAACTGTGATCCTCACGGCTCAGCCTCTTGAGTAGCTAGGATTATAGGCATGAGCCACCTGTGCCTGGGGCTGCTTTTACCCCGTGGGTTCTGGTAAGCAATGAGTGAAAATCAGACAGCCCACCTCACAGGGCTCCTCGCCTCTTACCCTGGCTCTGCCACTGGGTAGCATGTGATCTCCACCCCTGGGCCTCTGTAGCCTCATCTGTAAAAGAAGAGGCTGGACTGCATTGCATTGGGTGGGCAGAGATGCTGGGCAGTATAGAGTTTGGGAGCCAAGGATTGTGTGTAATAACATCATTGTCTCTCTGAAACCTCAGTGTCTGACTTCTGCCCAGCCTCCTGGAAGGGATTAGAGGCTACCCTAAAGGAAAGAGGCATTTTTCTTTTTTTGGGGGGGGGGTGTCCGGTCGTGGGCCTGAACTCTGGGCCTGGGCGCTGTCTCTCAGCTCTTCAGCTCAAGGCTAGCGCTCTACCACTTGAGCCACAGCGCCACTTCCGGCTTTTTTTTTCTGCGTCTGTGGTTCTGAGGAATTGAACCCAGGGCCTCATGCATACAAGGCAAGCGCTCTACCACTGAGCCACCTTCCTTCCCGGCCCCAGGAATGAGGCATTTTTCTAAGAGACTACTCATCAGGTGGCTCTGTATCCCTTTTTTTCAGCCATAAAAGAAGCTCTGAGGAAATGAATGGCTGTAATAAGCAGGGAAGTACATTGCAGATAGTGACACTTTTTTTTTTTCCAGTTTTAATTTCTTTGGTTCCCATGCTGGGGCTTGAACTCAGGGCCTGGGCTGTCTCTGAGCTTTTTCACTTAAGGCTGTTGCTCTACCACTTGAGCCACAGCTCCATTTCCAGCTTTTTGGTAATTAAAGTATCGCATGGAGTCTCTCCAAATGTAGTGACTTGGTCTGCAGATGCTGCTTGTGATGGAGAGTGGACAAATTTTCTCCCTTCATTTACTATTATAACAGATAAGGTTGTTTGTAAAACCAATTTCTCCCTCTCCCCCTCCCCCCCAGCCAAAATAAAAAAGTCTCATGGATTTTTCTGCTTAGACTGACTTTGAACCACGATCTTCAGATCTCAGCTTCCTAGGTGGCAAGGATTACAGATGTGAGCCACTGGCACCTGGCTGTGTGTGTGTGTGTGTGTGTGTGTACACATTTATTTTTTATTTTTTCCTGTTCCTTCCAATAGCTTCCTCCTCGCCCCGTGACAGCACTGCCCTAGAAATAGAGGCTAGGAGTCGCTCAATAAAGGGTGGACACTGGATCCCAAGTCTGAGTGGATTGTTGTGAGACCAGGGGACCAACATGAAAACAGAGAGCAAGCAGTGACACCAAGAAAACATAGCAGCTAAAAGACAAGGGGGGGGGGGATGAGAATCAATACCCACTTTCTCTACCCCATTTTAAAATTTTTTTTTTTATTTTTATTTTTTGGTCGGTCGTGGGGCCTGAACTCTGGACCTGGGCACTGTCCCTGCGCTCTTCAGCTCAAGGCAACACTCTACTGCTTGAGCCACAGCACCACTTCCAGTTTTCTAGTGATTTATTGGAGATAAATCACTCTCCTGCCCGGGCTGGCTTTGAACCATGATCCTCACATCTCAGCCTCCTGAGTAGCTAGTATTACAGGCGTGAGCCACCAATGCATGGCTTTCTCTACCCCATTTTACTCACTCAACTGCATGCTCTTCTACTACCCTGTAACCCAGACTGAACAAGGCCTCCATGGAGACTCAGCCTGCAGGCAAGGAAAGGCCTTGCATCCCTCTTGCTCTGACTTGCCACAAAGCTATCCTATTCAGCCTTCCAAGGGGGTGAGGCTGAGAGTAGGTGTGGGTGGCATTGTGGGGTTTGCTATATAAAGATGATGGCCTAAGCTGACACTTGTAATCCAAGTTATTCAGGAGGTTGAGGTTTGAGGATCCAGGTTTCAAACCAGCCCAGGCAGAAAAGTCCATGAGCCTCTTCCAATTAGCCAGCCAAAAGCCAGAAGTGGAAGTTGCTCCAGTAAGACCAGTCTTAAACAAAAAAGCCAAGCAAGAGCTCAAGGCCCTCATTTCAAGCCCCACTCCCAGCACCTACTTGGAATCCTCAGATATGGAAGGTATAGGGGATTAGGTATATAAGGAAATCCATAAGTGTGAGTCTTTTGTAATTGCTGTGCATAGTTCTTCATTTAACTGAAGTCTTAGGACAGTTTGCCTTGTTAGTAATGTAGATCTCCTGGGGTGCTTGGCCCAGTTCCCAGTACCCAGTAGGGTAGCAAGTCTGTTGCTTGCTGCTGGCAGAATCTACTCAGGTGGGTGCCCTTGCTCACATCTGTGGGCACCTGGCCTGATGTGTTTTCCTTTTTTTTTTTTTTTTCTTTTTTGCTCATTGTGGGTCTTGAACTTAGGGCCTGGGCACTGTCCCTAAGCTCTTTTGTTCAAGGCTAGAGTTCTAGCACTTTGAGCCATTGCTCCATTACTGGTTTTTTGGTAGTTAATTGGAGATAAGAATCTCACGGACTTTCCACCCAGGAGGGCTTTGAACTATGATCACTAGAAAACCATAAGTGGAGATATTTTTTGGGAGGGGGCGGGGGGAGGTTCTGGTCGTGGGCCTGAACTCTGGGCCTGGGTGCTGTCCCTCAGCTCTTCAGCTCAAGGCTAGCACTCTACTACTTGAGCCACAGTGCCACTTCTGGCTTTTTTTTTTTTTCTGCTTATGTGGTGCTGAGGAATCGAACCCAGGGCCTCATGCATGCAAGGCAAGCATTCTACCACTGAGCCACCTTCCCAGCCCCATGAATTTGGTTTTTGATGTGCTTTCATCCCCGTCTACCTGATCTTTGTATCCATTGTCTGGTAGCTGGTACTGGTATGCCAAGAAGCAGCACAAAACGTTATCAAGCTTATTTTCCTGGTGATGTTAGGAAGTTTGGATCTCCCAGTAAAAGGGAAGGGGAAGGGCAGGTTGTTGGCATTATTGGTCCCAGCTGCCAAGACCCCTGCCTGCCAGCGGGTACAGCCTAACACATGGCTGTGCTCAGTAGAGTGGCCATGTCTCTATGACTGTCTGAGCCTTTGCCATGGAGGAGGCAGGCAGGTGTGCTTTCCAGTTTTCAGGAGGAAGGGTTCTCAGAAGTGAGCTTTGCCAGGTGGTCAGTGATAACCAGCACCACAGTAGAGATGCTGGTGCTGAGAGCAAAGGGTCCCATGTGGCTCATGACGCCGGCTTCCCTTGCAGGTGCGCTGGTACCCCTCCTCTGATAGCGCCCAGCAAGGATGGAAGTACCGCCAGTTCTGTTAGTTTTTTTGGTAAGTGCTGGCCCCAGAGGCCTGGGGTGGAAAGGGTTCCAGGCGGTGGCTTCCTGCAGGCCTTGGGTCCTCCCTCTGCCCAAGTCCCTCTACCAGTGAGCTCACAGTGCTAGGCAACCCCAAGACTCCCTCATCCTCCCACCCCCAAGCCCTATTCCCCCACTCATGGCCACCTCTTTTCCCCTCTCCAGGTCTTGTTCACCAGGGAGTTGGTTCTGGGACTGTGTGGTGGGGCCAGAGCAGGACCCAGACTTCCGTTCCCCTGCACAGCTGCCGCTGCCCTGCCGACACTGTGAATCTTAAGCCTGCCTCAGCGGACCCCTCTCCCCTTCCCCAGCCCTGCTCCGCCCCACCCCACAGCCCGGCTCCAAAACCTTCCAGGCCCATTGGGGAACTTCTGGCTGAGACACCCCAAACCCTGCTCAGAAGCCTCACCAGGACCCCAGCCTGGCCTGACTTCCCACACAAACTCCCTTCCATAGCTCTCCCCTCAAGGGAACGAGGCGTTTAATTTTGCATGTTCTCTGGCACAGCTTTAAGACACTTCAAACTTGTGTATATGTGAGTGTACACTGTTCCCACACTGTCGCCATAGCAACAGGTCCTGGCACTCAGGGTTCATCATGCCTGGTCCTCTCCACACCCGGCCTCCAGACCCACCCTGAGCCCAGTGGCCACTTCTCCCTGAGGGCCCAGCGCCCCACTGTCCCCCAACAAGTCCAGGCCTGACCACTCCCCCAACCCCCACTCCCACCTAACATGTACACCGTGCGCACCTTTCATGCCTCGTCCCAGACCACCTTCCCTTCACCATCCACCAACCCCACACGCAGAGTGCCCTTCCTGGCCTGCTCCTCCCCAAGCCTCCAACCAAAACGTGAAAGTATTTTTGTACCCCGTGTAACAAAATATTTATGCATCATAAAGGACTTTTTCATGTGTACCGTTAATTATTGAAGAGACCTCGTTCGCCCTGTCGGATAAGTTTAATGTTTCGTTTGAGGCCTGTAGAAGAAGAAACTTTTTTTTTTTCCTCCCCCCCCCTCTTCTTCAGCAGTGGGCCTTCGTGTCAGGCGTTGGTTTAAGAAAGATGAAATACAGCAGGAATTGTGCAATTTTGTTTTCTTTTGTGAGCCTGTCAGGGCTTCGCCTTCAGCCGTGCGTCTGGCCGCCCTGCCCTTTCAGACTTGGGAGACAGGGCGGCTGTTGTTGTAATTGCTGATCCTGTGAGAATGTGAAACTGGATAATATATGAATTGCAAAATAAAAAAGAAAAAATTTAAACTGACTTCTCTGTGACCTTTGCTTCCAGCTTCTACGAGGAGGACAGAGTCGGAGGACAGCCTGCTACCTGGGGCTTGGGGGGTTGGGGGGATGCTGGCACCCATCTTCTCTCTCCTTTCCTCTTCAGGCTGGCCCAGAAGCAAGTCTCCGGGTCCAACTGTTGGGCCCGTGTCTATCGGCCCACACTGTGCTAGATGAGTTCACCTCATTCTTAGGGTTCTGAGGGTACAGACCGATATTGCCTGCGCTCAGCATCACCCCCCCCTCCACCCCAGATAGATCTGAGAGCGATGGACCTGCATTCTCTCTTTGGGCCTTCCTTGATTTGGCGTCAACCTTGCTGGTCTGTGGTCTTGAGGCCTCTAGGAAGAAAGGACTGAAGTTTGGAGTGCTGGACTCTGTCTGGCCTTGGTGTGCATCTTGCGGGGCTATGCTGGAGGACCCTGGAATCTCGCCCGACGAGGGTTCGACTGCCCCGCAGGCTGTGGATGACATCAAGGCTCAAACCTTATGGAGGTCGCCAAGAGCGGAGGTGGCCTGGTCAGCCCATTGGAACTGCCCTGAGAATCCTGTTCCTCGTCTGTGGGGTGGTTTGAAACCTATCTATCTCCTACCAGAGGGCTGCGCCCAGCTGAGGTGTTCTGTCAGTTTTGTCCATCCATGCCCACCTGGGAATGCTGCTCTATCCCCTACTGCCATCCCGTTCACGCTGGCCTGCCTCACTTGTACTGCAGGTCCTTCCACAACCTTCTGAGCAAAACTCCCCTGGCTGTGACCAGCCCAGGCCACCGCCTCCCCTGCACCTAGGGTCACCCACGTGACCATCTCCCCCTTTCTTCACTTGGCCCATACTGGCAGCTTGGGTCTGGGGAGTTTGCCGCTGGCTACTTGGAGTCAGCTGACCGGCTCGAGGCTGATATGCATCAGATGGACAAGCACAGGGCCTCTGCGTGGCAGATAATGGTTTGCCAGGAGGCCCAGGCTCAAGGAGGAGAGGGAGAGGAGTTGGCAGCACTTGTGCCAGGAAGAGATGGTTGGGCCTTTCCTATCTAGTCCTTACCACATTGGCCAAAAGCAAGCCGGACCCGTTGCCTGCAGCCCCTCATAACATGGCAGAGCTGGGGGGCGGGGTGGAGGTGGGGGGGCCTGACTCCACCCAGGGCTGGGCTGAAGCCTGACCTACTTCTGCTGTGTCCAGAACCACTGGGTCTTCCTGAGGTGGTGAATTATTTAGCTGAGGTGCCTGGGCTTCTTCGGAGAGAGGGGCTATGGAAACTGCTCCATAATTTAAAGGCCCTTGTGCCTGTGGCTTCCCTGAAGGTGTCCTTCATGCTTTACTGAGCAGGGCCTAGGCCTGGGCCTGAAAGGGAGGGGCTGGCTCCGGGAGGAAAGCCCTGCCCCCATTCCAGAGGTGGCGCCCCAGCTCCATTGGGGGTTTTTCTTGGGGCAGGGCCTTGGGTAGTCACCTCTGGACCCACTAGAGTTAAGTTGATGAGCTGCCCTGACTTTCTAGTGAGGGCACTGTGAAGGCTGGGGTCAGAAACAGCTGAATTCTGCCTGATCTGGTGGTACGTGCCTATAATCCCGGCTACCTGGGGGGGGGGGTGGTAGAGATACGAAGATGAATTTGAAAGCAGGCTGGACAAAAGTTGGCAGAACACTATTCCAAAAACAAAAGGCTGGCCTCCTGTGTGACCCATACCTGTCACCCTAGCTGCTCAGGAGGCTGAGATCAGAAGATTGTGTGGTTCATGCACTTACCAGAAAGTGTGTCTTCCCCAAGGGTGTCTCTGATCCCATTTAATAGCTGGGGAACTTGGAAGTGGTGACTGGCTGCTGCTTGTCCCACTTGTGTTCCTGCTTTCTGGTCTACCAACTCAGGGAGGCAGATAGATAGACAGAGGCCCTACAGGCTCAGCAGCCTCTCCCTACAGTTCCCCAAGCCAGGACTAGAGAACCCTGGCCAGCTGCCTTCAGTCCCTTCCCTGGGCCCTACTCTGCCCCCTGCTGGCCACATCTGGTCAGCCTAGCCCTGTGCAGGCAGTCTCTCTGGTATTGTTTACTGCAAGACCTTTCCAGCCCACGACCTAGACATCAGTTGCCCCTGTGTGCAGGAAGTACAGCACAGTTCAGGAGCCCAAGAGAAGAGGAATAGTGATCTCATTCCACAGAACCCTGTCACTTCTTTGTGACTTCATTTCCTTTTCATGACTTCATTTCTTCCCCCCACCCCCTACAGAATTAGCAGAAGGGTTATTGATAGCACAAGAATGTGTATAAACACAGGTATTCACTGATTACATTTTGTTTTTTTTTTTAATTCCTAAGGGTGGGTGTCAAGAGTAGTGTAGGCCTGCCTCAGTCATCTTCCTGTCTAGGCCCCCCCATTCTGACCCTTGTCCCCCATACTGGGATTGCAGGCATGTACCACTGTACACCCCAAATTAGTGTTTCCTATGGCTAACTTGGAAACATATTTTCTCCTTTCTTTTGTCTTTACTAAGAAATGAAAGATTGCTACACATGTGCTTTGACTCTTTTTTTTTTTTTTTTTTTTGGTCGGTCGTGGGGCTTGAACTCTGGGCCTGGGCGCTGTCCCTCAGCTCTTCAGCTCAAGGCGAGCGCTCTACCACTTGAGCTACAGAGCCACTTCTGGTTTTCTGGTGGTTTATTGGAGATAGTCTCACAGTCTCTCCTGCCCGGGCTGGCTTTGAACCGTGATCCTCAGATCTCAGCCTCCTGAGTAGCTAGGATTACAGGCATGAGCCACCAGCGCCCGGCTGTGCTTTGACTCTTAAGTGAATTGATCACTGAAGGCTTTTTGTTTGTTTTGGTGCCAGTTCCGAAACTTGAACTCAGAGCCTGGGTGCTGCCTTAAGCTTTTTCACTCTAGATGCTCTACCACTTGAGCCACAGTTCTACTTCCAGCTTTCTTATTTTTTATTTATTTATTTTTTGGGTCCGGTCGTGGGGCCCGAACTCTGGACCTGGGAGCTGTTCCTCAGTTCTTCAGCTCAAGGCTAGTGCTCTACCCCTTGAGCCACAGTGCCACTTCTGTTTTTCTTTTTTGCTTATGTGGTGCTGAGGAATCGAACCCAGGGCCTCAGGCATGCAAGGCAAGCGCTCTACCACTGAGCCACCTTCCCAGCCCTTCCAGCTTTTTTAGTAGTTAATTGGAGATCAGAGTTGTAAGGTTCGCTCCTGGATGGCTAGCAGACTCCACCCTCCTCGCAGCAAAGTCTCCACCTAGTACCTGCGTTACCTAGGCAACTGGGACACCAGGAAGAGGTCACATCTGCATCCCCTGAGGTCACATCTGAATTTGATGTGGCCACACCTTTCTCCACCCATACCCTAGATAAGACCTAGCCCAGGCCCAGACGGCCCTCTCTCTGCTCTTTTCTAGCTCTTCTCTTTTCTAGCTATTTTCTCTCTTTTCTAGCTCTCTCTTAGCTCATTTCCTCATCTCTCTCTCTTTATCTTTCCCAGCTCTCTCTTTCTCAGGCCTTTCCCCACCACGTGGAAGTCCAAGATGGCCTGGTGTCAGCCTGAATGAAGAATAAACCTACCCTTACCTGAATACCACGTGCGTGGTGCAGTTCTTACTCGGCTACTAAAAACCTAACAAGAGTGTCATAGATTTTCCTCCCCGTGCTGGCTTCAAACCCAGATCCTCAGATCTCATCCTCCTGAGTAAGCTAGGATTACAAGAGCCTGGCCCTGAAATCTCATGTTCTGTACTGTGGCCCAGGAGTCTTAGTATTTTTGAGGTTCAGAAATCATAAGAGAATATTTTATAAGGCCTCAGACAACTTCATACTGAACTGACCTTCGCCCTTTGCTTTGGGGATGGGGTGGGGTGCTGAGAATCAGTCCAGGGCCTTACACCCACTGGGTAATAAGCACTCTACCACTGAGCCACACCCAGCTCTAACTCTAGCCTTGTTACCAAACCACCTAGGACCCAGGATCCTGACCATAGAACTAACGGGAGTAACACATTTCTGTAGGCTTCAGACCTTCTGAGAGCATCCACATAGGCTGGCTTCCATGATCACCAGAGAAAAAGCCCCATGAGACAAGAGAGATGTTTTCTACTTTTGGTAGCTATAGAAGCAAGTTAAAAAGGTCCCACTGAGAGAAGAGGTTCAACTTCCAGGTTTTCTAGTTCTCATCTAGAGTGAAATGATTTGCTGTGATTCTGGGCCCCACGGTCAAAGGGGCTTCTTTCTCAGGAACCACATTGGGACCAGAGAGGCCTAGCACAGGCAGGAGGAAAGGGCCAGCAATTGTTTCTAGTAACCTGAATAAAAACAAAGGCGAAGGCTCTGATCTTTGAGAGCATGTGGATCAGTGTGAGCAGAGCTCAGGGCTCTCTGTGCAGACCCACTTCCTGGTTTGACCAAAGGTCAATCGTGTCATCAACTGCTTATGTCTGGCTGGATCACTCTATCACTTTCAGACTGTATGTGGTCTGAAAGCTGACTTGATCATAATGCTGACTGAAGAGGTAGCTTTCCTTATGGCAGATTACTTGAGTTTGGCTTTTTGTTTGGTTTGATTTGGTTTTCACCCCTCTGTATCCCCCACTCCCCAATAATTTAAGGCTATGTGAGATTGCTCATTTCTACTCCTGGACAGGAAGTTCAAGTTCCTGAATGGCCAATGTGATTGGACCAGGATGAGTCAAGACAGAGCACTAAGCTAAGGGCTCTTGTCATCCCTGGGAAAGAACCTCACAACTCCCTGCTTCCGTCTCTCTCTCTCTCTCTTGTGTTTCTTCCCCCAAGTCCTGGTGCTTGAACTCAAGGCCTGGGCACTGTCCCTGAGCTATTTTGCTCAAGGCTAGCACTTTACCACTTGAGCCACAGCACCACTTCTGGCTCTGTTTATGTGGTACTGAGGAATCAAACCCAGGGCTTCATGCATACTGTTCAAGCATTCTACCACTAAGCCACATTCCCAGACACATTGTGGTTCTTAATTTGGGGAAAAAACAAAATACTTGCTTAACACCTTCCTCCTCCACAGGAGATTGGTTTGGTGCAGGTATGGAGAGAAAGACAGTTTCCCTCTGGATGTCCTTGTTATTACCTTCCTCCAAGTCAGTAAGATGATGGTGGGTCGGGCACTGGTAGCTCACATGTGTAATCCTAGTTATTCAGGAGGCTTGAGATCTGAAAATCCTGGTTTGAAGCCAGTCATTTATTTTAGCCAGTAAAAATGTGAAAATGAGCTGGGCTCCAGTGGCTCATGCCTGTAATCCTGGGTACTCAGGAAGCTGAGAGCTGAGGGTGGTGGTTCAAAGCCAGCCGGGTCAGGAAAGTCCATGAGACTTTTTTTTTTTTTTTTTGGTTGGTTGTGGGGTCTAAACTCTGGGCCTGGGCACTGTCCCTCAGCTCTTCAGCTCAAGGTGAGCGCTCTACCACTTGAGCCACAGCGCCACTTCCAGCTTTTTCTGCTTATGTGGTGCTGAGGAGTCAAACCCAGGGCCTCATGTATGCAAGGCAAGCACTCAACCACTAAGCCACCTTCCCAGC